AAAAACTGGGGAGATGGATGTGGCAGATCATGTTGGTCTCTCTCCAAGCCTAGGGAGATTATGGGCCAGTGGTGAGCAGAGCCAGCTCGTGAGCCGTGATGCGTGGCCGAGTGTCATGACTCATGCTATTGGGAGCCTTTCATACGCTCAAACTAGGGGTATAACAGGGACAGGTTGGAGCCACGCTAGTGTCCCTCTGATCCAAACTTCCCTAGAGTTTGGGGGCGTTCGGAGGTGAGGCAGCGTTGGTTCGGCTGCCAGATTATCCCCCCTCAAGTGCAGAATCCAGAGCCGCTCCCAATCCAGAACTGGGGCCAGGGAGGAATTTTGAGAGTAGATGCTCTGGATCGGGCCTGTCTCTCAAAGAGCACTGGCCACACCCAGCCGGGCTCACTGTAAGTCACCCCCCTCCTGTCTAGCCTTCCCGCTCCGTCTTCACCCCGCTGCCAGGTGCATGGTGTGGAGACATGCTGCTGAGGATGTAATGCTGATGGGGCCTTGGACCAATGTTCCCTCTAGTCTCTTCCATCCACGTGCAGAATTTTCCCCATCTATGTGTGGAATAAATGTTCCTATGTGCGCCGAGGCATGTGTGAATGTGCACCACCAGGAGAATCAAAAACCTAGCTCTGGGTGCTCTGCCAATCAGTTGGACAGCATTTTAAACTCTCCTGAGCCCAAGTGCTCATCTTACAGGGAACAGGGCATTGGACCGGTCATGAACAGAGTGCCTGCCATGGATGGACAGGAGCTGCCCACCAGGCAAGGCAGCCATCTTCCCCCTGGAGGTAAGAACAGCAGGCATTCAAAGGGGCAGGGTGCTGAGTGTGTCCCCCCCTCTCTCCCCCGTGGTAATAGTGAAGCAGGGATGTGTTTGCACCAGCACAGCCAGGATCTGTTCAAGGGAACCGTGCTCTCCCCTCCCTCTGTCCGGCTGTTCCTCCCTGCCTCCGCCTGCACAGAAACAGTCACTAAACAACTGTTTGAATTAAAGCAAGGGGTGGGGGCGGGCGCTTGTCAGCTCTTGGGTCTTGCTGTTCCTTTCTGGAATGCTTTGCCCACAGATCCAATAACACAGAGATAAAAACCTTCCCCAGAATCTCCGAGGTTGTGTGTTCGGCTCATGTGGTCGGTTTCTTGTTGGTTGTGCAACACCCGCCGGTGCCTGTCATTTACTCCCAGGCTGTGTCTAGACTGTACCCCTTTTGCGGAAAAGGGATGCAGATTAGACACATCGCAATTGCAAATGAAGTGGGGATTTAAATCCCCCCCGCTTCATTTGCATGAACATGGCTGCTGCTTTTTTCCGGCTCGGGGCTTTGCCGGCAAAAAGCGCCAGTCTAGACAGGGATCTTTCGGAAAATAAAGCCTCTGGAATAAGGGATCTTTCGGGAAAGGCTTTATTTTCCAAAAAATTCCCGTCTAGACTGGCTCTTTTCTCCGGCAAAGCCCCGAGCCGGAAAAAAGCGGCAGCCATGTTCATGCAAATGAAGCAGGGGGGATTTAAATCCCCGTTGCATTTGCAATTGCGCTGTGTCTAATCTGCATCCCTTTTACGGAAAAGGGGCAGTCTAGACACAGCCCCAGAGTTTTGACGACAAAGCTTCAAGGAAGCAAACTGGCTGGGTACTTGATCTTCCCTCTGTCTATAGCTGCCTCCACATCGACACCCGTGCAAGGCAGGGTGCAAGGATTCATGTGTTTGCACAGCCATGCACGCACACCGACGTGCCCAGGCGCACGTCCAAGCCCGCATGCTTATTTACACGCTCGTGTACCTGAAGATCCTCACTCCAGACCGCATTTCCGCAGGCATGCCCACTCACTACCCCCACACAAATGCACAGGCTGGCTTGCAATAAGCAGGAGTAGGCCCTGGTGCATGCACACAGATACAAGGGCATGCTTGGCACGCAGGCCGTGTGCAAACGAGCACGTACACAAGCCTGTCCCTCTGCACCCATCCCCAGCGACACACATGTCCCTTTCACCTCCCGGGCAAGTCTGAACTGACCTATTGCTAGGGCCCCATCAAATTCCTGGTCTGTTTTGGTGCATGTCACTGGTACAGGATTCTAAAAATGGCAGAGGGAATGGTTTGGGTTATTTAAATCTGGAACAGCATGACGTGGTGATACTAGGAGTAGGAGGGGTGCAATGCTGCTACCCTTAATTCTGCATTGCTGCTGCTGGGGTGCTGCCTCCCGCCGCTGCTGCTCAGCTCTGAAGACAGCCTGGAAGCGAGGATGGCAAAACCACGAGCCCCCTAAAATAACCGTGTGATCCCCTGCATCTCTCTGAGGTCAGAACCCCCAATTTAAGCAACACTGCTGTCCCCCGTGAAATCTGTGCGCCACAGGGTAAAGGACCAGATTTCACAACGGGATCAGAGTTCATGGCCCACGATGCATTTTTCATGGCCCTGCATTTGGTAGGCCCCTACCGCTGGCCCATGCGTGCAGGTTCAAATCCCCCATCTGATCCTGCTGCCACGCCGTTCGACCTCTTTTTCTCCCGCGGCATCTCGCAGCGCCGGGAACATCCGCTCTGGGGCCGAGGGGGGAAATGTGGAGTGAGAACTGATGGTTGCTAGCCCCCGGATCAAGTTTCCCTGGAGGAGACGTGCATTTGGGCTTGGTGGGCTGCAGTTGTTTGGCTGTGGGGGGTCCACAGTAGGACTTGAACTTCCTTTTCTTTCCAGCCAGGCTCAACAGGTGTTCAGAAACGCCAGTGGCTGGAAGGCCCACAGGGCTTCTGAGGCTAAGGGTCTGTCTGCCGGACACGGCCCTGGGCGTGCAATCCACCCCCCTCCCTCGATGTGCTTTTTGCAGCGGTCAGTTCCAAGGCACCGGTTCCTCTCAGTCGCCCCCCACGGCGGCAGCGTCCCCTCCTGCTGCCCTAGGCAGAGGAACGGCAGAGGTGGAAGAGAACAGCCCCCCACTGCAGGCTGCTGCAAGTACAATGGTGCCCCCCTTCTCCGTTGCTGGAGAGCCCCCTGGTGAGAGATACCCAGGGGACTTCTAGCTCAGCCAAGAGGCCCCTGGCTTTGCCCTGCTTGTTGTCCCTCTGCAATTGGCACACGGGGCCGGGGGGAGATTTGTCCCCCTCCTACCCGCTTGGCCCCCACCGAGCAGCCTCCAGGAACACAGCGAATTCCCGACACTCGTCTGGGTGTGGGAGATGGGGGCTGTGAGCAGCACAGCCCCCTCTCTTGACACCTCCCTCACCAGGGGCCCCGGGGCGGATAACGCCCCAGCTCTCCGCTGCCTCGGGAGAAGGAGCAAAGCGGGGAAGGGGAATTCAGAACTGCCCCCGTGCGAGGGGGAGCCGGCATTTCCAGGACGGGCGTCCGATTACAACAGGGCACTGCCACGTTGTTTTCCATAATTGTGAGACTGGTTCCCCCTCCCCACTTGCTTCTC